ATGATTCGGTTTAAGATGTCTATATTTACAATTACGGATGGAAAGAATTTAAATCGCTGTATAACTTTTAATATAAGTTTCGAAAAGAGGTTTTCTAACATTCTCTTACTTATCATATTTTTTAATCATTTTATGGGTGGAGTCGTACATATCCTTTGATATTGCAACATTTTACAAAGAAAGTTGCATCCCTTAAACAACGCAATTTGTATTGACACATTTACAAAGTTTCTTCTCTTCTAAGCCAACCAAGAAACAATTATTTTAATACAAGTATTTATTGCATGCTCATAACAATTTGTTTGACAATAAACCACACCTACATTCTTTTTCCTAAAATAAGGACTTTCTTGTTTAAAAATAAATTCTTCGCATATTTTATAAGACATCTGCTAAAGAATTACCTTAAGATAGTTAATATATTGAAACTATACAAATATTTAAAACTCAATTTAAGTAATCAGAAAAACTGAATGAAGATATTACATATTCCTTAGCTATAACTTAAAAGTTAGTATACCTTTTTTTTCCAAAAAGTTAGTACACAGTACATTTCGAAATAAACAGTCATCTTATTAATAATTCAATAATAGAAAAAGTAGCAATATTTATAGACATGACAAAATGCCAACTTAAATAATTTTGCTAAAATAAATTATTTGAATTTTAAATTTTTAATATGATCATAAGATTTTTTTTTCTTTGTCAGATTAGGTTGATCCAGTTTATACTTAAGTATAAGATGGATGTGTAAATTAAATTATTCTTTTTTAAAAATTGAATAATAAGTGACTTTTTTAATTTGACTAATGAAGCCAAAGTTAAAAATGAAGGGTCATTCTGATGCCCGTCAACAATTCTTTTGAAAAAAAAATTAAGAAGTTATTGCTTCTATAGATTGAGCTAGCCTAATAAAGAATTTCTGTCATATTGAGAAGAAGACATGAATTGATTCACTATTGTGCTAATAAAGACTGGTAAGCTTTCTTGGACTCGTTTACGATATGAGCTCAAATTTAATCAAACCTAGTTGCCAAGTCTCATTATCAAAAGACTACACTTTTTTGAGGAAAAACAAAACAGGAAAGAAAGAAATGCTACACTTATGTTAGATGAGACTCTTATATGAGCATATAAGTTGTGTTCTCCAACTAATCTTTTATAAAAGCATTAATTTGACAAAACTGACCTCTTTTTTTTTAACAGAGAAATAGAAATTAATAAATGACAATATATACTATCCATTATGATAAAAAAAAATAATATTTTAGTAGTCTGTTCAATATTCAAGTATTTTATTTTAAAATAAATATACATATAATTTAATAATTAAAGAACAAAATCATATATTTTTATAAATAATTATATATACATATATAATAATAACATTATCTTAAAAAATAATTTTATTTAAAAATTATTTTAATTTTAATTTATAACTATAGAAATTGTGTATTAAAATGATAAATATTTAATCAAATTTAATGATTTTAAAAAAAATTATTTTAGACTGAGATTTTAGGAAAAACATTTAGAGCTGTCAATTAAGCCCTTGACCCACAAGCCCCCTCGTATAACCCATTACATAGTCTCATATTTTTTAAGCCCTATATATAGCGGATCTATTTTGGCCCTAAGCCCTAATATATAAACAAAAAGTGGGTTAGCTTACACTTTTTAAAAAGTAATTAATAAATATTATGTTACATTTTTTTAATAAAAGATACATATATTTGTTTATTATTTTTATTAATTATTTTATTTAAAATTGATAAAAAAATATCTTAAACATAAAAATATAATTTAAAAATAAAAATTCTATCAATTTAGGCTAAAATTTAAATTTGTAAACACTCATTAATTTTTGCTAAGTTCACAAGTTACTTTTTTACACAAATGAATTTTACAATATTAAGTATCATATATCTACAATTTTTATGATGACAATGTTATATTTTTTTGTAGCGTATTAAATATTATTAAAATAAATAATTTTGAGCATTTTGATAATATATAACTTAACAAAGTTAGCTAACATTATCTTTTATTATCAATTTTGTGTCTCTATTGTCACTTTAAGATATTTATTGAACATGTGATCTTCTTAAAATAATTTTATAAAAGAAATAAATAAACACTTTTTAGAGAATAATAAATAAATATTATTTATTTTTATTAAAAAATACATGTGTTTGTTTATTATTTTTATTAAAATATTTTATTTAAAATAAATTTTAAATATAAAATAGTTTATCAATTCTATCCAATCAATTTATTTCACTTTAAAAATAAATTCTATCAAATTAAGATAAGTCAAAATTTAAATTTGTAAATATTTATTAATTTTTAATAATTTCATAAATTACTTTTCTATATCAATAAATTTTATAATATTAAGTATTACATATTTATGATTTTAATGATAAAAATATTGTATTTATTTCTTTAATACAATAAATTTAATTTAAATAAATCATTTCAAATATTTTGATAATTTAACGATAGATGACTTAAAAAATTTAACTAATGTTATTTTTTGTTGTCAGAACTTTAAAAATATTTATTAAACGCGTGATGTTCTTAAAATAATTTTATAAAAATATATAAATAAAACATAATAATATAAAAATATATAAACATGAAAATTTTTATGATTAATACTTAAATAAAATTATAAAATAACATGTTAAGAAATTATTAATAAAATTATATGAATGAAAAATGTTACTATAATTTAATAATTATCAATAATACAAACAAAAATTAGATAAGGATGTAACTTAATTTAATAATAATTTATTATATTTTATTTAACATTATTCAATAGCAATAATTCATTCTAAATATTTAATATTATACAATTTAATTATTTTTCATTTATTTTTAAATAATTTTATTTATTTATAAAGTTATAGTAAAAAATGTTATATAAAATAAATATTTTTAATGAATTGTAAAAATATTTTTTAAAATAGTTGGTCCATGGATTAGCCCTAGTCCACATGAGTTAAGACTATATTAATTAAAGCCAGCCTACTTGACACCTCTAAAAACATTATACAGACAGTCATTTTAGGCTCGGAGGGTGGGGGCGGGAACTGAGTGTAGATGATTTTGTATGAGTGGGCTTGGGTTGGACTCCCACTGTATTCAGGTAACCATTGGTTTGGAAAAGTTTTAAAATTCAATGACCAAAAAACTGGACAAAAATAATTGACAAAAGTAAATAAGGAAATTATGGGATGTAAAACTAAACCAATATTAAAAAGCAAAAAAATTAAAATAAAAAGTTTAAAATTTTAAAAATAGAGAACCAAAAATTTTATTTGAATGAATGTACTAATTTAAATTTCATGATCAGTTAACTCCAAATCAAACTAAAATTATATATATTATTTATACGTATTTAACAACTTTCTGATTAAATACAAAAGAAAATATAACTTTGTCTTAAATTTAGACATATATTATATTGTGTAAAGATGATGATTTATATATTAAATCTAATAAAATAAAAATATTTCAATTTTAGCTAATTTAAATCAAATTATATCTACTGTAAAGTTTGAACCAAGCCAATCAAGAAAGTTGATCAGATAGACTAGGTTGACATTTTCCCCCCCACAGCATCAAATTTAATCCAACCGGTAGACACCCTTAATTCGTCTTCCATTTTATTAGAAATAGATCAAGTCAAATGAGAAAAAAAAAATCCTTCAGAAAAATTACATTGAGAAGCTAAATTATTCCGCTTGATACAATTTAAATCCAAGTAATTGTTTACATCGGTGAATTTTAGAAGGAAAGAATTAAAATACATATATTTCCTTTTTTAGAAAAGAGGAATTTATGTGATTGATTTAGAAGAGAAAAAAGGGAGAAAACTTTTTTTAAATACAGGTTCACCAATCCATTTGTCCTTGGAAAAGGTTCTTAAGAGTGCAACAAATGGAATATAGTCTAATGGAAATGAAAATACACTTACACAGAAGAGAAAGGAGGTTATTATTAGAAGAGTCCTTTCTGTTACTGTGATATCTGCTGAAGACTTGCCTGCAACCGATTTCATGGGGAAATCTGATCCTTTTGTCGTTCTTACCTTGAAGAAAGGAGAAACAAATAAACAAACCAGCGTAAGATTTTGATGGACCAAGAACAAAAAGTGGCATATACTTTACAACCATCTGGAGAATCATAGAGATGGGTCTACAATTGATATTGTTGATGAAATTTACTATTCAGTTAAGATATTTTTTTTCTTAATTCTTATGGCTGGTTAGGGGCACTGGGAGAGGCTATCTATAATGTGCTTGAAAGTTTCTTACAGCTTTCCCAATTTTATGGCTTAATTAATTATCAACATATTAGAAACTTGATCCTAAAATTCTGTTAATTTCTCAGGTTGTGAATGATAGCTTGAATCCTGTTTGGAATCGAACATTTGACTTTGTTATCGAGGATGGATTACACGGTATGATAATTGTTGAAGTTTAGGACCACAACACATTTGGAAAGGTAAAAAATTTGCTTTATGTTGAATTATTTACTACGATTGCCTTTTTCTTGCCTAATGTCTTGATGACAGTAAGTCAATCGGCTCTGAAGCTTAAATACAAATTATCTCGAGTGTCAGTTCACTATTTATAGCATTGAAACAACTGAATGGTGGTTAGAAATACATGGTCAATTTTATGGGCCGTCCACTACCACTTGAAATAATGAAACTTTTGGGCACTCCTATGTTAAACAACGTGAGAAATGTAAGGGTAGAAAAATAATTTAGGAGGGTAAGAATTGTTTGACAGTACAACCATCAGTAAAAGCAAATAAAAAAATGAAAGCAACCCCACACAGGTGACGGTTTCGTGCAGCAGCTGCTGAATTTCAATTGCTTCCAGAGGACATGGAATGCAATGCTCCACACAAATCAGCCAAGCACTTGCCATGACTCTAAATTTAAATGAACCCACCAAGTAATGGAAACAACATTTACTGATTAATCCTAAAACATCAAACAGAATTGCAAGTAAAATTGAAGTAGGACTCAAAAACTCCTCGAAAAACTCATCGAAACCTCCAATCTGATTAATACTCAGATTGGCCAATTTTTTAAAACCTCCAGTCATATCCCATACTCAAACATACAAACAACTGAATATATTCACCGTAACAGGCAATTGAAAATTGATTTGACATTCGTATATTCAGCAAGTTCGATTGTTTCAATAATTTACAAAAATGTCCTCCTGCCTAGCAAGAAATGACCTAGAGATCGATCACACGGGACAATTTCTGGATCCGATTCAATAGGAAGTCCCCTTGCTTAATAGTTGCTTGATAAAGAGCATTCTTAGCATCAGGGCGGTTAGTTTCTAATACGCCTGCAACTTTATCAATCTTACAATGAAGTTTTCCTGCTGCAATAAAACGTGATAGCTCCCTGGAAGCAAATAATGTAATGAGTTGCCTCCCATAAAATCTTATAACTTATAAAATACTAAATCAAAATTGGATTTGTGAAATGCATTCACTTACAAATCAATGAAATCCACTGTCACTCCGAAGGCTTTTGCCATGGCTTCAATTGTCACACTCTTGTAAGATTCCAAAAATTGGGAATAAACAACAGTTCTGACCTCCCTCATGTAATATCTGAAATGTGGATGCAGATAGCGGTCCAACTTAATTTGCTCCGTCAGGCCAGCTGAAATAAATTTCAAAAGGAAACAAAAGTATGAACATCGAACAAAAACAGAAAGGAATGAATTATCTGCAAGCACCTAGAAGCCTCTGCTCTACATTAGATGATTTCCCGATCCTCAAAATATAATAATACAAAATTAGTTTATTGCAATAAATTGTCTCCAGCAAAGAGTAAAAATTCAGGAAATCACAGCAAAAGTACTTAGATTTCACAGATGTCTACTCACCAAAAGCTGAGAAAAAAGACTTGTATTGACAATCATATAAAGAGTTCATAAACTCAGAAAGATATTGGATTTTGCCAATCACTGTCAAGATCTCTGGAGCATCCACTACCTAATGCAAATTAGTAGATTTTATTATTTACAATATGCAGAACATGTGCCAAGAAACAAAGTCAACCGTATTAAAGAAAAAGATAAACAGTGTAAAGATCAAAACAGAGAATCATCATACCTTTTTCTTTAAGGAAACTCTATCCAATGATATAATGCTTGTCAAAACTGTGTAAAATATAAAGGTGTCATAGGGAAAAAGTTCATAAGTTGTAAATGTTGAAATAGAATCCAAAAACAATTTGGCAGCCTTCTTGAAATTTCGAGTGGCCATGCAGTACAGGCCTTCATACACTTTTAACCGATTCTTCCTTTCCCAGTCACCACCTTCTTCAAACAAGCTGTCACCATGGTGCAAACAGTTAGAAAACCAATCCTTAACCAAAAAAATATGGCAGAAGGCATAGCTACAGTTGGTAACTCAAAATATTACTTTTTAGCTTTGTCAATGCTTTTGGAAATGAGATCAAAATCCATGTCAAAGAAACCAAGCTGTAATGTGTAAAACACTAGGTCCATTTTCTGGCCAACTGCAACTGTCTTGGTTTCTGTTACCTTGAGATGTTCCAAGGCTTTTTCCTGGTACATAGGAAAGAGTGTTATCAATAATTGATTACAATAGTAGAGTAAAGAGCAATAGTTATATGTACCTTGTCCCCAATCCGGATGAAAAACAATGATTTTGCCAAGTGAGCCTCACGAACTTCACTCTCACCTAAGTTTTCCTCAGCATCAGCAATCCTAAAAAGAGGCATCCACATGTATTATCGCAAGTGTAAGGGTTATTAAACTAGCCACTTTTCAAATCATAGGAATCATTATATATGATATTATTTATAAATCCTTAACATGTATACGTAATAAATTTTACATTTATAATTAATTATTATCCTTTCTTAATTATGGTGGTTTCTATGCCATCCACCATGCACCATTATGTTTTGGGGTTTGCTGCCATTGGTGGCTACAAGCCACTTGCAGCACTGGGTATACAACATGAACCCAAAACTGAAATACCTAGAATAAGCTAGGTTTGGCCAAAACAAAACATATTCCAACATTGCTAGTAGGACTGCTAATAGATTTGAAAACGCTACATACATAATTTAAATATTTTAATCACATAATTTCATGCACATTATAACATATTTCCTTTTCCCCGACAATGTATCATTAAACTCAACCTTTCATATTGAATTCACTATAAGAACTGTGTCAGCATCCGTTTCTTCAACAGAAAAAGGAAGAAAAAACAGCGCAACTCCAATCACATTGCTAGAGAAGGGAAAACTTTAATGCTAGAGATTCGTAGGTAGAAGAAACATGGATTCACAACTTCAAAGACACTTCAGTGATAGGCATTCAGCATCTTACTTCTTTAAATTCCGTGTTTGACTTTTCATCCAATAATTATTCAATGCGTACAATGTGTTCAAATGATCAACTCTAGTTAGTTAAATTGATACAGCAGTTAGCACGTACTATCCATCTAGGTGCAGTTCACAACCTAAGTGGTAACAATGATGAAGCATCAATCACAATAAGCAGCAAGATGCATAAGAAAAAAATAGCACAAACCAAAACACATCGGTATAATTCAAATAAGCAAATCTCACAAAAGATAGTCGGTTCATTGGAAAATAAACGTTGAAAAAGGATTACATATCCAGTAGTGGTAAAAGTTTTCACCACTCACCTTTCCATCATATTCGTGTAGATTCGTTAATTAACCTACTAAGTTTCAAATCGGATATTCTAAATTGGGTTCTGAAGCAAGCATAGAAGGTAAAGGGAGGAAGAGAGAGAAACTCACTTTTCGTCAAGTTTGTTGAGTTCATCGTGAATTTTAGCACGCATGGAGTCGAAAAGGGTACGATCCATGTCCAAAACGGAGTCGGCGACTAGAGTTTCGTACAAAGGGAGCATATCTGTAGAGAAAACATGTGGTAAGAAGAGGAAGATGGAAAGGGGGTGAGGTCGAGAGAGAGAGAGAGTTATTTACCGTTGTCCTTGACGTGAGTGAAAACATCGTCCTTGTACCGAACCTTATCGATGTCTTGCACATTGGGTTGCCGGAGAAAGAATAGCTTATCGGCGAGAACCAACTGCGGCTGCTGAGACCCCTCTTCTCCTTCCATTCCTACTTCTCTTTTCCTTTCTTGTGGATGCAAACAAAATGCTCGGAATCGACAATGCCAACAAAATGCAAAATGCTCGGAATCGACACAATGTCAAGCACAATTAGAGACGAAACCAAGTCAAGCTGTCGACTCTGCTTGTTTAAAGCTCACCCTAATTCAATCCAAGTAACATTATAGGCCACCGTAAATTCCACTCCTTGTGTGTTTAGAATTATAGATATTCTAATATTATATTGTCTTTTTTAAAAGAAATTGAGAATTAACTATTCTGTTATAGATAGATATATATTATATTTTAAGAATAAACATAAATTGCATTCAATTGAAACTACAAAGTTATTGTCGAAATAATTTTATACTCAATCTAAATCAAATTCATGTTTGGTCATTAAGCCGTGAAAAAATAATTCATTTCACGTAAAAAAAAATTACTTAAAATTTATATACTGTGAAAAAACAAATAGGCCAATAGCTCTAGACTGAAGTAAATGTAAATTAATCTTATTATATATATATGAAGTGAACGATTCATTACGGCATAGAATTTTGCTCAATAAAGAAAACAAAGCCTCCATAAAATGTGCACGAATGAGTAAACATGTTTAGGTGGATTAGTAATTACGAAAATAAAGTTGTGGTAAATTTAAAAAAATGCAACACAAAGATTATGGTTCCTCGTTTGAGACGAAGGTAATGGTTTTCCAACTGCACAACGTTCACACACATACACAGTAGAAAGATAATAAACAGTGCATTTAAAACTCACGCCAAAGGAGTAAAAGGGCTGCAACAACAGAATCATCAAAATTAATTGACAACCTACATGATATCAGTTAATTGTTAATTAATGGCAATTTTGTTGTCATTGCAACCCATTGACATTTAATTATGAAGATAGGCCCATTTAAAAGAGAAACATTACCAATCACGAAGGTTTGCTTTCTATCCAGTTTTTGAGATGCGATGAAGCTCGAGTTCGACTTTTCATATCTCTGCGACTTGCCAAATAGCTATCAAATAAAGAAAAAGAGAGAAAACAGGAAGTAGCATCAAGATCAATGTTCCAGCAGCCAGGCAGAAGAAACTTTTTATTTTAGTCCTTTTAAATAATTTTTTTAGTTTCTATTTTTTTATATTTTTATTTTTAGTCCTTAAGACTGATGTGAATAAAAAATAACATGTAAAAATATCCGAGTAGACTAAATTAGTATCAGGCACTAAAAATAAAAATTTATAAAAAAAATAAGAACTGAAATTTATTTAAAGAAACTAAATAAAAAAATTACTAAAATGTAAAATCAAGAACATATTTAAGTAAATTTAAATTTTTATTTTAAAATTTGAATAAAAAGTAAACTTTTTAATTCGAGGTAATAAAGTCAAAGTTGAAAATGGTTCATTCTAAATTTGTTATTTTCAATAGTTATAAATATAATATGAATGAAACTCAATAAAAAAAATTTCCTTTGTCAATCAAATAATTTCTAACTTGATCGCAGATTGACAACAAAAAAAAAATTGAAATTCCATCTGTAACGAATAATCTACTTTTGAACAGGATATTGGTTGAAATTCAGCACTTTTATAACATTGACAACTCCTTTTGGGTGAAAATACTTCACATGTGAAGATTTGGGTTTTCCCTGTGGACATTTACGGCAACGGAGTGATCCCATAAAGCTGAATCCACTGAGCCTGGTTTTGGATGCATTGGAAATTGCCTTCATCAGGGTTGGGGAGGTCAAAAACGTTATATACCTGTTAAGATTTGTGTTTTTTTCTACCACCAAGTGAGCCCAATCCATAAGATATCAAAATTTTATGCTTTTCCCATGTTATTTTCCTGTCTTTACTACAAATATTAAGTTGTTTCTCCCTTTTAATAAAATCTTTAATTAAACAAGTAGATCTCGTGAATTATAATTTTTTTCCTCCCTTCATTAACTAGTTCTAAAGATAAGTTTTCTTTCTCTTCTTTCTCTTTGATCACCATTCTTTATTCTTTTATTCACTAAGGTTTTTAATTATGTCAGATGGTAGGTAACATACTTATTAAAATGTTAAATATATGATTATTTGCACAATAAAAAAAAAAGGCTAAAATGTTGTGAAGAAGATAGCCTTATCTTCTGAATATAAATATATGGTTATTATATTTTGTTTCTTGATAATTGGAGCTAGATTTTTTCACTAAAAAAATAATAATATGTATTTTAAGTTTTTATTTAATTTGAGAATATCATTGAAAGTATATTTAATAACAAACATTTTAAATCTTACAACATGATGGAAACAAAGAATTCACAGCCTTTAAATTAATAATAAAAGTTGAAATTCAATTGAGATAGTCATGCTAATACACCTCAATCTAAAATAGACGAATTTAAAGAAAATACAAGCATGTTATTGGATCTCGTCTAACATTTTTTTTTCTCAAACCAGAATGCTACTACGGTATTAATGGAAAGCTTTTACCACTTTTGTCTTTCTCATTAACGGGCTCCTTACTCACGTTTTAGAAAACAAGTTACCTTATCATTAGTTGTTTGATAAATTTTCAAATTATTATTACTATGAAAAGCTTTAGGTTTACTTGCTATCCTTACTTAAAACCTTAAAATCAATATAAATTGCAATTTCATAATTCTCAATATGTATGTTTTTAGTACATTAATTTTTACAAATGTCTAAGTTCGATAAGCAGGGTTTTCACATCTCATGTGATATAAAAAAAATATCATTTTTCCTTCTATAATTTATTTCTAAACATAAAAAAGTCAACTGAAATAAACACTAACCCTACTAATTTCGTATTTCTTATGATGAGTGTAAGTATTGGTGTTACAAGTGAGAAACAAAGAGTGTTGAATAATGAAGAATAAAAATAATTCACTAAAAAATATAACAATAAATACTATTTATTATATATTTAATAATTACAAGTGTTCTAAGTGTAATTACAAAGAACTCCTAGATGTGAGACATGTCAGTTCATGCGGTTGTTTTAAGAGATTCAAATAATATAATTTTTCTTCTAACTTATTACAAAGATTAATTAGAATAAAGGCTTCAATATTGTCATAAGCTAAACTTTTAAACATAAAAAATTATATATATATATATATATATATATATATATATATAACCAATAATAAATGAAAGACACGTATTAAATATTATATCTATAAAATATATTAACTTAAGACTCAATGAAATTTATGATAAGTCAAACATGAAAAACTTGTTACAGATTTATCAAAATTATAATAAATAAGAATTAAAAAAAAATAACCTGCTATCTCAATTTTAGTAAAGTAAAAATTTATTATAAACATTATTTTATATGATAAATTATACTAAAGAAAATAAAATATACATAATTAAATATTGATAGATTTATACTGCGAACAAATAGTATGTGATGAAACAAATTATTCTTGATAAAATAATATAAATTAAGCTAATTAAGTATTTGATATTTATTAAAATTAAATAATTTAAATTTAGTTTGTATAAAAAAATTATAAGAATATACTATTCATTTTTTACAAATTATTATTTTTAATCCATCTAAATGACATGATTATTAAAATTTGACAAGTGTTAATTTTTATTGGATCACATCAGTTACAAGAACTAATTTTTTAAAAAAAATATTTTATAAAAATAAAGTTAAAATTATATAATTTTCATGGAAAAGTAAAACTATAAATTTACTTCCATGTTTAGATATTTATTTTAATAAGTTAATAATTATTAAAATCCACAAATTGATAACCGGGACACAGTCATGTGTGTGTATAGCAGCAACTAGTAATGATTCAATTGTCATTGGCGAGGGTGAGAGGTACGTACATAACACATGGAGTTGCAGGTGACATGAAAATATGAGAGCGCCGTTGATCACATGAATGACACCATGGCAGGGCGTGTAAGTGGCCCCGTCACGCGTCAGTGGTAAAAGCTTTTACAAATGAACCTGCACAGAGTTTGTAACTCGATGAGTGCCTAATGTCTATCCCATTTAAGACTCCATGTTCAACGTTCACCTTCTTTACCCAAATCTTTTACAGTCTACAAGGTTCAACGACGCTCCCATCAATGATCATATAGTAAACGGTAAAATGCTATTTTGTGTTTCTTATCAATATAGCCCTGCCTCTGCAACCTCTCTGCGCATGACTGTGACAAGTCTTCGGCCATCTCCCCAGTTCCAGAGTCTTATCCACAAACCCTCTTTCTTTTAATAAATAATTTAGATTACTTGTTTTAATAATTTTTATTTTTAAATCTTTAGTATAAATTATCGTTTAAAATATTATTAAATAAAACTTAATAAATTATATATTTAAGCAGACTCTAAACAACTTCTATATTTCAGGGAGTTTAGTAAAGTAAGTTAGTAGAGAAATCGTAATTCAGTAAAAGATCATACTTCCTGAAACACTTTTTTTAAGGTCATAAAATACAGATTTTTTGGCGTTGGGTTAATATCTAATTATAAAATTTTGATTTTACAAGAATTAAACTATTAATATCGGTAATACAAGTTTTATATTAATAAAAGAATTTAATTTTAATACACGGTCATTATAAATATTTTTTATACTATCAATTTATAAAAATACATCAAAAATATATTTTTTATTTTAATTATTATAAAAATAATTTTTATTAAAAATTTTAAAAAAATATACACAGCTGAAAAAATAACGATTGATCATTTGTAATGTTGTCCAGAATTCTCATCATATGGACCATTTGACCTTCCTATCTTGAGTCGACAATATTCAGTGATAAGTAGCTGTCGTTTATCCACTGCAATTAATTATTTTTTTTAAAAAGTATTATGGATATTTTTTTAAAAAAGAGTTTATTTATAACTTATCACAACAAGTATATTAAAATATATTTTTAAAAATATATTAGTATAACATTTATCTTCTTCATTTGTTTGGTCATAAATTGTGAAAATCAAGAGGAATCAGGACATAAGGGAAACTCAGATTAATTTCATTGCACTTTGTTGATAACAGAGCAAATTCTATATTTAACTATGTAAAGAATAGGCAAAAGGATATTATAAATATTCTTATAGAACAGGACCAGTGAGACTTGAGGCTATATATGTAACCATTTATAATTTATGATTGGAGAGCCTGATTATTTTATGCTTGGTAAAATCGAAAGCTAAACCATAAAA